CTCAGCTACACCAGTCTTTCTTTGACAGCCATTTTTTTACCCATGGATTTAAAGTTTCGTTCAGTTCACTTGGCAGCCATTTGTGCTAATGTCTGAAGCAGGCTTAAGTCCCAGGCGAAATAGGTAACTGACATTTCCTCCACTGACAATTGAGAAATGGAGGCATCTCTTTGTCCTCTCTGTTAATTACTGATCTTTCTCTTTGGAATTCCTCTAATGGTTAAATGTGCTGATTTCCAACAGGAGGTCATAGCTTGCAACACCCCCCACCCCACCTTCAGAGATGTTCCTCAATTTACATAAGATTCACCTCCAAGGGTAGTGCACGGATGTGGGAAAATCTTCTCCCATTAGACCATCCCATCCATGCTGTAGAAAGCCCTCTTGCCCTCATTGCTGGGTTTCAGTAAGGGAGGAGAAGCAGGCTGCCTACCAAGAGTCCGAGGCGCATGCCTGCCCTCCAAAACAGCCCTGCCCACTAGATACAGCCCTTCTCACCCTGTTCTCTCTATCACCTACAGCCTCGTTGCACTATTACCGGTACTTGCCCCTGCTTGCACAGACCACACAGGCCTGACAGTGCAAATTCTTTTCCATTCAATGGCTCATTATATGATTTTTTTTCTTCCTGTCTGCTGATTGTGCTACTCCTTAACTCCCTACTCCATCCCCTTGATGTCTAATTATATGGAATCCCTCCTCAATTATTTAAAAAAGGAAACACCTGGATTGAAGGAAACAAGGGGTGGGGAAACCCCAAGTCAATCATAACTTGCAGGTGGACTCTGAAATGTTTCACCAAAGCTTGATCATGTTTGCCTTATTAAATGTAATGGGAAGAAATGTTTGTAAGTCTCTAATCTTGAAAGAAGGGAGGGGGGAACTCCACTGTCGCATGAACACATGAAGCCATCATATACTGTATTGTCAGTATTGTCTCCTCAGACCAGCAGCAGCTCTCCAGGTTCTTAGGCAGAGGTCTATCATATCACCAACTGCCCAATCCTTTAACCAGAAGTGCTAGGGATTGAACCTGGGACCTTCTGCATGCCAAGCAGATGTTCTGTCACTGAGCCACAGCACCTCAGTACATCATAGGCAATCTCTCATTAAGAATCTGCAAAACGCTCCAACACATATTTACGCACTAAGTCAAGCTTCTGAATTTCTAAAGGGAGCCATGATTACACTCTCCTTCCCTCAAAAAAACTCCTGCTCAAAAAGTTAGCTTTTGATTCCAGGTGTTCTAAGGTTGCAGTCCTTAAACAGGGTTGCACTGTAGACCATCGCTCTGGGTGGCATGTTCTCTTACATGGCCCATGAAAGGGCAGCCTGAAAGACTTCTGAATTCCAGTGCCGCTGTATTGAATGGGGAGGGTGAAGAGAACGGTAGAGCACTGTTTAGCAGGTAGGTAGAAACTGCTTTACAGACCTAATGCTTCAGGAAGGCACTTCAGGTGCCTCAAAAGGAACATGACTCATCTGTACCATCTAATCATTCAGTCCCAGTGATGAATGCGGAAACACAGCTTGGCTGTAAACATATCCTATCCAACACAGTTCTGCATGTCTCTGTGGCATTGATTTACTCATTCTTATTTCCTCCATTTTATCCTCAGAAGAACTCTATGAGAGAGGTTAAGCTGAGAGTGTGCAACTGGTGTAAAGTGAGCTTCATTGGTAGAGTAGGGATTTTGAACCTGGCTCTCCCAGATTCTTGTCTGAAATTCATTCAAACACTCATATTCAGGGTTGATATGGAGTTCTGAGTTTGCAGTCACCACTGTTTGCTCCAGAAAGCAACCGCAGGATTTGTTTGGCTATTTTAATTGTATCTTAATCACCATGGGCAGAATTTAAGAGACACTGCTTGTACAGATAGCTCTGATTTCGAGGAATGGGTCATATGACTCCTAATGTCTCTAAGGCCAATAGGAAACAGGGGCATACTTCTTGTCTGAAATTCATTCAAACACTCATATTCAGGGTTGATATGGAGTTCTGAGTTTGCAGTCACCACTGTTTGCTCCAGAAAGCAACCGCAGGATTTGTTTGGCTATTTTAATTATATCTTAATCACCATGGGCAGAATTTAAGAGACACTGCTTGTACAGATAGCTCTGATTTCGAGGAATGGGTCATATGACTCCTAATGTCTCTAAGGCCAATAGGAAACAGGGGCATACTTCTTGTCATAAGGGCTGAGTTATCCTGGGGTGGGTGGGTGGAGTTCTCAGTTGGGGTGGGGCATGAACCAGCTCACAGACTAAAGTTTGTGATGAATTTTGGCTGGTTTGTGCTTTCCCAAGTGAAGTTTGTGGCAGGTCAACTGGCACAAACTTTCCACAAACTTTTAAGCTGTCCCTGGAGATTTCTGCCAGTTTGTAAATGCATACATTTCCAGACAGATTATCTGAGCGCAATCAAAATGTTTACCAGACTTCAAAGCAACAGTGGTGCAGAAGTCTCCAGCCTTGGAAATACTTTGGTTAGTTTCAAACTAGTAATGTCACTTTCAAGAGGGTTCCCCCCACCCTTTGCCAGAGTTCCTGTGTTCCCTTCCCATTTTCCTCCTCAGAGCTTGCAAAATCCACCCCTTTGCTTGGATTTGTTGTGACTCTGTGCTTTGAGGGCAGTCGTTATAAGCTTGCAATGCCTGTGGCACTGAATTCTGCTGGGCATTCTGCACATTATAACTGCAGGATTCTCTGGTTTGACATTAGTCCTACTTTTGCTTGCATTGCCACAGTGGCACTGGGTTCTGCTGGGCACTAGTTCATTGCACTGGTTCTGGGACTTGTATCCCCTTCCCCCCACTTGGAGTGTGATTCTATGTTTCACATCAGTTCTGTTGACCTGGCATTGCCAGAATGGCACTGGCTTCCGCTGGGGAGATGTACTAAAAGGAATGACAGGATTGCCCACTGGAAACAATGGGAGAGGACTGAAGGCCCATTGGTGATAATGGAAGCCAGGAATGCCAGTTGACTTGCAAGGCCTCCATTGAAATACATTACAGCACAAAATAGTTGCAATGAAAATGCAGAGTGGATTTTCAATTAATGTATCTGGTTCCAGATAAACTGCTCTGGGACTGGAATAACAGGTCCCAGAGTGGAAAGATGGTCCCTAGAAACAGAATTAGTGCTCTAGGACTGGAATAACAGCCCCCCAAGTAGAATGATGTCTCCTGGGAGTAGCAGACATGTTCTGGGAGTGGAATGACAGCCCCCCCCCAAACTGGAATGACAGCCAGAACAGTTCTGCTCCTCCCTGGGGCTATCATTCCACTCTGAAACCTGTCATTCCAGCCCCAGAACACTTCTGCTACTCTCAGGAACCTCATTCTACTTGGGGGGCTGTCATTCTAGACCCAGACCCAGATAACTCATTCTGTTTCTGGGGACCATTCCAGTCCCAGAGCAGTTTATCTGGGCTCAGAGACATTAATTGAAATTCCACTCCGCATTTTCACTGCAACTATTTTGTGCTTTTTCAATGGAATCCATGCAAGTCAATTGTCATTCCTGGCTCCCATTATCTCTAATGGGCCTTCAAGCCTCTCCCATTATTTCCAATCAGCAATCCTGTCATTCCTTTTAGTACATCCCTCTACTGAGCTCTAGTACATTGCCCTGATTCTGCTGGACTTGGAAAAATGACCCCCTTCAGTTTCTATTGCAAAGATTCTCTGGCTTGACCTTAGTTCTGTTGGGATTGTACTGCCATGGTGGCACTGGTTCTGCTGGGCACCTTCTTTGGGGGGCTGTAACTCAGACCCTGTAAATCCAATCCACATCAAACTTGCAGGACAGGTAGAGAAGAGTCATCCAGAGATCCCCTGTGAATTTGGTGTCTCTAGCATGCCAGAGGGACATTCTACCATGTCACAAACCTCACAAACAAAACCAGTTCATTTAACCACTAAAACTTTGTGACAGTTTGTGGTGAACCGGGCACTCCACGAACCACAAACTGAACTGCATTTTCCTGGTTTGTGCCCATCTTTGACACTAGGCCACATGCTCTATGTATAGACACATTGCCAATCTCTAGATCTGGAAATGAACATCCATTATCCATCCATTGTTCCTCTGGATCTGTGTTATTTTATACTGTTGTTTTAAGTAATTTTAACTGTATTATATATTATATTTTTATTGTTGTAACCCATCCTGAGCTTGCTTGCGGGGAGGGCAGGATATAAATCCACACAAATAAATAAATAAAATTATATAAAGGGACTCCAACATGTGTTCTGGTTGATCACAAGCTAAACATGAGCCAGCAGTGCGATGTGACTGTGAAGAAAACTAATGCAATCTTAGGATGCATTAACAGAAGCACTGTGTCCAGATCACGGGAGATAGTAATCTCGCTCTTTTCTGCTATGGTCAGGCCTCACCTGGAGCACTGTGTCCAGTTTTGGGCACCACATTTTAGGAAGGATGTTGACAAGCTGGAGTGTGTCCAGAGGAGGGTTGGAATCCAAGTCTTACGAGGAAAGGCTGAAAGAGTTAGGTATGTTTAGCCTGAGAAAGCGAAGACATAATTGCAGTCTTCAAGTATTTGAAGGGCTGTCATGTAGAAGATGGAGCAGATCTATTCTCTCTTGCTCCCAATTGCAAGACTAGATCTAATGGGTGGAAATTACAAGGGAGTCGTTACCGGCTAAATATTAGAAGAAACTTCCTAACTGTAAGAGTGGTTAAGCTGTGGTGGTGATGGATGCTCCTTCGCTGGATGTTTTCAAACGGAGGCTGGATGACCATCTTTCAGGTATGTCGTAGGGCTATCTTTCGGCTATGCTCCTGCAGAGTGCAGGGGGTTGGACTAGATGACCTGCAAGGTCCCTTCCAACTCTAATATTCTATGACTCTATGATTTTGTCTCACTTATTTCACTAACAATAAGGAGGCAGCTGCCCAACCAGAATTTTGGGCAACTGCTCCAATTCAGGTTTGGGTAGATTTTAATAATGTACAGTGGTGGGGTCCTACCAATACAGAGCGGAGGAGGATAGTTCCAGCGCCGGACAGTCCCTGGCATGCAGGAAATGTGAGAATGTCCCTGGAGAAGGAAAGGAGACCATTAGTGGGTGGAACATGCATAACAAACTGAAAAGCAGGCCTAATGGGGGAAAGTGGGAGAACCTTTGTGTCAAAATTCAAGTTCTGCACCAGTATGAAATTCTTTGGTATCTGTGGGACCCCTAGGCCATCAGCCCTTCTCCAAGAAGTTTCTTGACAAGGGATGGTTGGATTTCCTCCCTTCCCCATTCCTTTATTGTCCCCCAGTTTGGCTCTGCTGGAAATAGCACTCCTCTTGAATAGAAACTGAAGTTCAAAGGTCTTAAGTACCTGGAGCGCATAACCTGGTTCACATTGAAAGGAGACCACATCGTTCACCAAGTATCGCTCCCCGATCTTCAAGCCATTGCTGGGGACGGTGGGTTCTGGGCAGCTGGACAATCCAACGGCTACAAAAAAAGCATCAAGAAAAGAAGGCACTGAGATGAGCGCATGGTGCTGCAGGCAAACATGGTGGCATCTAAGAGCTGTTGGACTAACGAGGTTTTCAGCATGTGTTTCTCTCACTCACCTGCCACACCTGACTCAAAGTGGTGGCCACTCTCACTGTCTGATGCCCACTGATGCATCAGACAGTGCCCACTTTCTGATGGTGCACTGACCGTTCCCTGCCACAGGGCCTTTGAGTTTTGATTCCCAGGGGTCTGGTCTGGGCCCTGCAGCTGGAAAAGGACTTGAGGCTGCAGCATCTCTTGGGCCTGAAGGATGTCAGGTGCAGCCTCAGCTTGCATGCCATTATCCAGAAAACTGCAGTGCACTTTAAAAGGAAGAGATGCCTTGGCCCCTAAGAAGGCTTTTGATAGTTAAGAACAAGCATGTACACCATGAACACAGGTGGAACCAAGATGATTCTCTTCAGCTGTCCTGAAAACCAAGAAGGGAAAAGGTAACCAGTGATTGGCAAACAGTTGGTGAATTGAGGCTTCCAAATCCAGCAGCTGAGCTATTCTTTTGGGCAGCTGAACCTATGCAAAATCCAAACTCCTCTCTCCCTACCAGGGCTCTTGAAAGCAGCCAGCTTCTTGCATGGAAATAGATGCCTCTTCACTTGGCAGTGATGAGAAGCAAGTATGGGGAAAAGTCAGCCACTCTTCAACAGAACAGCATTTACTTGGGTGGCACAGACTTAGGAAGCTATCACATTGAGGTCAGATGCACTGGCTCCTCTACCCAGGGCTCTTTTTGTAGAAAAAGCCCAGCAGGAACTCATTAGCATAACAGGCCACACCCAACAGAAGAAACTCATTAGCATATTAGGCCACACCCCTGACAGCACAGCTCATTAACGCATTAGGACACACCCCCATATTACCAGAAGTGTGGTTATCCAGCCACACCCACCTTTTGCTTCTTATTCTGTTTACCTTGTTTGTTGTCAAAACGCAGGGCTTTTTTGTAGCAGGAACTCCTTTGCATGTTAGGCCACACACCCGTAATGTAGCCAATCCTAATGAGTTTCTGCTGTTGGGTATGGCCTATTATGCTAATGAGTTCCTGCTGGGTGTGGCCAACTTGGGAGCCAGCCGGAACTCCGTTCCCGTGCGTTCCTGCCCCAAAATAGCCCTGTCTAGGCCAATATTCAGTATTCTCTACCTTGGCAGGCAGAGGACATCTAAAGAATCCTGGTACCAGCATGGGCATAGGGTGACTTACTGCTGCATTCCAGCTCAAATACTCGGGGTGAAATAACAGATGGGCCAGGACAGAGTACTAGTAAGAAAGTGGCTGAAACGGTACCTATTCCAACAGAATTTGCCCTTGTGGCATCCTTTCATGCCCTGTTCGAATGTAGGTTTTTCAAAAATATAAGGGGTCATTATATTAAGCCTTTAATTAACCAACCATCCCCTTATACTCCAGAAACTCTGGCTCTTTTGCTTAGTGATGAGGATCCTAAATTTACCTTGGCAACGGCAAAATATGCCTCAGTCCTTTTAGCCCTTGCATTCAAAAAATAAGGAATAAGTATTTTCCGCTGTTCAAGGTTTATGATTCAATGAGCTTCTAAGGGAATAAAAGGAAAGGAAAGGTACTTCTCATCATCTGCTTCAAGGCCCACAAGAAAGACAGTGCCAGTAAAATAATATTCGTTTCTTTTACCCCCCAGCTCATAAACAAAATAAATTGGATCACATCTGTTTATGCCTAATGGTTTGGCAGCAAGGGACAGCCTTGAGGTTTGGGGCAGGATGCTGAATGTGGGAATAAGCACCGAGAGAGCACACTTGGGGCTCCTTGGTTCCCAGTTTAGTTTGGGAGATGCACTGCTCTCTGCTCTCACCTGCTGGGCAGGGTTGCTCCTGCAACTAGGAACAAAAGCCCCCAACTGGGGGGCATATAATGGTGATTGGTGAGTGCTATGATTGGTGATTACTGGAACAGACAATAATGCTCAGAGAAGTTGAAGGCAGTAGGAAACGAGGAAGACCCAACATGAGATTGGCAACGTACTCAATAAAGCAAGCCATGGCCTCCAGTTTGCAAGACCTGAGCAAGGTGATCAATGACAGGACGCTTTGGAGGTCACTACTTTTCATGGGGTCTCCATAGAAGTCACTGACAGCTCATAATACATGATTGGTGGTACATTCAGGAAGCCTGGTAGCACAAAGGAATCGTCTTGCAATGTTCATGCTATGCTTGTGGTTTCCAGAGATACCTTTACTGGGGTTATATGAGACTGAACTTCAGGCTGATGCATACAAATATGCGCCATACCACTCTGACTTATGGGTGCAGACAGAGACCATTAACTACTTCAGAGGGACTTTAACCAAGGGATGCCTGCATCTGTGGCAGCATCGCAGGCTGGGAAAAAGATGTGTTGCAGCAAAACCTGCACAAACAGAACAAAAGGCCTGGGATTCTGATAGTGTGACCATGGAAAGCCTGCCTCAAACTTGGACAAGGTAGTCGCAGGAGTAAAAAGTACCCACACGCACAGAAGCAGTGTCAGGCTATTGAGTTTTGTTCCACAAAACAGCAACTTTCTGTGAAACTGACCTTGCCTGGGGGATTTGCTCCAGCAGTTGGCGCTGGTTCTTCACATCTCAGCCGCTACGAGTGGCACAAGAGATGCAACGCAGCTGCTGGTGGTGACGTGAGCCAGGCTTCTGACTGTGAAGGCCGCAGTGGAGTCCATGGGCTTTACATCTCAGTGATCAAAGATGCAGCAGCCAAGAAACTGACGAGAGCACTGCACCTGATGATTCTGAGGCCATTTGTCCCCAGCAAATAGCACCAAAGTACTGTGTCCTGATTAGCATTTCCCTGTCTAAGCCCCCACCCAACCCTCCCAATAAAATATTGATGCCTGAAAAGACTGTTTTGGTGGCAGTATCCCTTCAAGGGCCAACACGGCAATCACAATAACCTCATTCTCAGGCACAAAAATACAGTCCTGAATTCATTAAAGGTTATTGAGCGCTCAAAGAACACACCCATAGAGGAGGCTGCCCAACTTGCCTCTGCTTGTTTCCTTGTGTCTCTGGGCAACTTCTGCTGGAGGCATATAGCTCTCCTATCAAAAGCATACCCAAATCAGTTACTCACTCAGAAACAATAAGAACATAAAAACATAAGAGAAGCCAATGTTGGATCAGGCTAATGGCCCATTCAGTCCAACACTCTGTCACAGTGGCCAAAAATACCAGGTGCCATCAGGAGGTCCACCAGTGGGGCCAGGACATTAGAAGCCCTCCCACTGTTGACCCCCCCCCCCCAAGCACCAAGAAGACAGGGCATCACTTGCCCCAGAGCCTCTATCTATACCTTGTGGCTAATAGCCACTGATGGACCTCTGCTCCATATGCCTATTGAATTCCCTTTTGAAGCCGCCCATGCTTGTAGCCGCCACCACTTCCTGTGGCAGTGAATTCCACTCTTTGGGTGAAGAAGTACTTCCTTTTATCCGTTCTAACCCGACCGCTCAGCAATTTCATGAAGTGCCCACGAGTTCTTGTATTGTGAGAAAGGGAGAAAAGTACCTCTTTCTCTACCTGCTCTATCCCATGCATTATCTTGTAAACCTCAATCATGTCACCCCTCAGTCGTCGTTTCTCCAAGCTAAAGGGCCCTAAGCACTTTAACCTTTCCTCATAGGGAAAGTGTTCCAACCGTGTGTGGGGCTCCTCTGAGAGAGGATAATTTTTACCCTTTTACTCTTTAAATGTATACCTGTGCCTCCCACTTTCATTCAAAAAATGTGGCCCACAGCTCCTGATGAAGCCCTTTATCCTGATGGGGGTCCCTTCACCTTTATGAAGGTGGTTTTCCCATTAAAAGGCTGATTCCTTGCTCAAATCAACATCTATCAACTAACCTCCACCAACAGGCACCCCATTTCTTTATACTCCTCTATGTGCCCAGCAGGAGATGAGGCGGCATGGTATAGCCCAACCTTGTCAGATATCAGAAGCTAAGCAGGGTCAGTGCTTGGAAGTGAGACCATTGAGGAAAACTCTGCAGAGAAAGGCTGTGGCCAACCACCTCTGCTTCTCACTTGCCTTGGAAGCCCCTTGCTGGGGTTGCTATAAGTTGGCTGTGACTTGACAGCACTTCTCACACACACACACAGCAGTTATATCTCCTCACCCCCCCAAGATGCCCCATTACTCTTCTACGCATTTTTTAACAAAAAACCCCAAAGTCCTACCCACAGAATTTAGTGAGGTCCATATTGGCCTGCTGTGATTAGACTCCAGTGGCTGAAAACTCCACTCCTGCATCCTGTTTGTTCTAGGCTCAACTTAGCTCTCTCTGATTTTAAAGCACTAATCACACACTACCTAATAATAATAAAAATTGTGTGCTATCAAGTCGTAACCAACTTATGGTCACTCCATGAACAATGGCGCTTTAAAGGCAAGAGATGAGCAGAGGTGGTTTGCCACTGCCTGCCTCTGCGTACCAGCCCTGATCTTCCGCAGCCAGTTTGGTGAGTAGTAGTTAAGAGTGGGAGTGGCAGAATCTAATCTGGAGAACTGGGTTTGATCCCCCACTCCTCCACATGCAGCCAGCTGGGTGACCTTGGGTCAGTCACAGTGCTCTCAGAGCTGTTCTCTCAAGAACAGTTCTCAGTCAGAGCTCTATCAGCCCCGCGTACTTGACAGGGTGTCTGTTGTGGGGAGAGGAAGAGAAGGAGATTGTAAGCCACTCTGAGACTCCCTTGGGTAGTGAAGGGCTGGGTATAAATCCAATCTCTCCTTCTTCTTCTTCCTTGGTGATCTCCCACATCCACGTACTAATTGTGGCTGACCCTGCTTAGCTTCCAAGCTCCGATAATATCAAGCTAGTCAGGGCTATTCAGGCTGCTACATACTGTCCACATTTCCACAGACTATTAAAAAAAAGTCATGAAGGCTAGAATCTTTGGATGTGATTCACACTGGAGAAGAAATCTTGGTGCTGTCCAAGTCCGCACCCCTGTACACCAGATTCTGTGCTCCTGTTGTAGCTGCAGCAAAATACACACAACCCTGTAAACAGAACCTTGGTGCAACACAGATCCTGTCTACAGCAGCCCAGCTCAGGCAGTGTGCATGCCCCAAGTAGAATGTGCTGGACTAGTGTTTCATCGAGTCCAGCATGTTGCTTCACACAGGGGGCCAACCAGATGCCCTGGAGGGCCAACGAACGGCATAAAGGCTGAGATCTTTCCCTGATATTGCCTCCTAACACTGGTATTCAGAGACTGGCTGCTTCTGAATGCAAAGGTGATATTGGGTTATCATGGCTGACCGTCATTAATGGACTTTTCCTCCATAAATCTGTCTAACCCACTTTTTTAAAGCAGTAAGTGTTCTTACTTTTGTACTCCAGGTGAAATCCCGCAGCAGAGACGCTGATGTCAGAGTAGAAGTGCAAATACAGCTGGTTGGAGGTGCTGTTGAGCAGTGCAGGGACAGTTGTTCCTAGGAGAAAAATACCACAAGGCAAAAGTTGCAGCATCCCCCCCCCCCCAAGGATGGAATGAAGTTACTAGGTAGGATTACTTTTCTACTAACAGAAGACACTTCCATCAGTGGAACACAACTGTCCTCCCTCCCTCCCTTTCCATAACAGCCTATTGATCTTCCTGAAATTCTGCTCTGGGGAGGGGATGGGGGCTCAGGAATGGCCCAAGAGGCAAATCAGGTATCTGCCGTAGGAAGGAGAAATTGGTGGAAATTACACCTTGCCTTCCGTTAGCGGAAAATTCAGTCCAGATCCAAACCCCGTACTGGATTGGGAAGGGTGTGTGTCTGCTGTTCACCATCCTCCCCCTCCTATGGTGTAGGATCACGATGTGGGTGGCTTGGACAAATCTGTCCAACATTGATGGGAAACCTCTGACTCCCTTGTGTGCTTTTCAACAGCCCACATTAAGACACAGAATCTTCACTGCTTCGTTATTCAACTTTTTAAAAAGAGATTAATTTCAAACTTCCATTTAGATTCTACTTAATTGATCTGTTTTAAGCATAGAAAATAATGAATCAGGTTCAGGGCGGCGGGGGCTCTTCTTGCTATTTTGCACACCTCCGCCTTTTCCACTGCCTTTCAAGATCTGGAGGGCAGCTCCTGCCTGATCTTGAGTCTGAGAACGCTGTCCTGGAATACGAACAGCCCGGTTTGCTGTTTGATCAGGCTCTAATGAGGCTGGCAGAACGAGGCTCGGGAAGGCTTTTCCCAAAGAACAGAGACACATTTCATTACATCAAGCTTTCTTTGGTCAGACTAATGGATCGAAAACGGGATTTGGAGATGAGAAGGCCTGTGAAAGATGGGTGAGCAAGAGTCATGGGGGAACCTCTGTCCATGTTCTTCTATGTTTATTGCGTGAAAAACGATGGGGAGGTGTGTGGGGGTCTGGAAGAGAGAGGCAAAGGCAGCCCTGGAGGAAAGAGGAAATACGTAGCTCCAGAAAGCTTTCATGAGAAGCTCCCACTGAATTTTAGAAACTGTGAATGAATGCAGTCTCTCAATAGGCATTGGTCGTTGCAAGGGGAACCACCCACAGATCTTTGGAGAGGACAGAATGACAGGCATAGAGTATTAGATCCAACTGGTATTTCTGCTGGTGAAAAAGGAAATGGGAGGTCTGCTCTTACGTCTAAAAAAGACTATGCTGGGGATCATGAGACCTGCATGGACAAAAGCCATGTGGGGCGGGGACTGTAGTAAAGGGAGAAATTAGCCAAGACAGAGTGAAAAAGCTAGCTGGATCTCACCCATATGGTTGACATTTTCCTTGTTGGGTTTTTAAGCAAGCCCCTGCCTAGTTCAGGCTGCTTCTTATTCCACTACAAGGTCACACAATTCGACATTTGACAAACCTGCACCCTGTGGGCCAGCAGTACTAATGGAGAACATTGCCTTTCTGCCTATTTTGCACATACATGCACAGGAAGGTGCACTTCATTCAGCCTTGTAGCTGCACTTCCCTACTCTGCAAGGCCAAGTGAGCAAGTAAAGCCATGACATGTGGCATTGCATCTGTGTGGTGTGAAAATGCTGGGGGGGGGGGGGGGGAAGGTGTGCACTTATGCAACAACTCTGGATTGCACTAGAAACATGCCAGCCTTGCATGAGTGAGATGTGAGCAGAAGAGGAAAGCGGCAATATTAAAGCCAAATCTGACTATGCAGATAGAAGCAGAGAGACCCCCAAGCCTGCAATATGGTGACTGTAAAAATCTGGGTATTAATCTTAAGAGGCCCAGAGCCCAAACCAGGCCATGGGGTACCAAATGTGTGATGCCAATGAACTGGCATTGGGGCAATGTTTGTCTCTCTCAGACACTGCAGAATCTGGCAGAACTAGGCTATGGTGGCACATGAAATCCTATGGTGGCACATGAAATCCTAAACAGAGCCAGTTTGGTGTAGTGGTTAAGTGCACGGACTCTAATCTGGGAGAGCCGGGTTTGATTCCCCACTCCTCCACTTGCACCTGGCTGGATGGCCTTGGGCAAGCCGTAGCTCTGATAAGATCTGTTCTTGAAAAAGAGCAGTTTCTGTCAAGAGCTCTCTGAGCCCCACCTACTTCACAGGGCGTTTGTTGTGGGGGAGGGGAAGGAAAAGGAGTTTGTAAACCACTCTGAGACACCTTTGGGTAGTGAAGGGCGGGGTATAAATCCAATCTCTTCTCTTCTTCTTCTTCTAAATCTGGTTTTTGCCCCCACTGTGCAAAGCGAGGATGGGACCTTTGCAGGTGAGAGGCAGAGGAAGGGAAGAGGATGTTTTTCTTTTTTTTCTCCCCACTCCTTCCTCTAAGGGCTATTTGTCATCTGCAAACTCTGTCCTCCTCCCACCACCACTTTTGCCCATTGGCCTGGGGAACCCAAGCTTAGAGCCCAGATGGGGAAGGGGCTTGGAAGAAGAGGATGCTGTGGTTGGAGGAAAACCAGAACAGGTTTCCATCATCTGCTCCCTTTGGTGTAGGCACCTCTTGCTCCAGAAGAGAACAGCCTGGAACATCGAGCATCGTGAGTGCTGCGTTAGCCCCACCCCACCCACCCCCTTGCCCTCAAACATGTCATCTTGCATGTGTGACACGCACAAGCATTACCCATAACACATCTGCCTTCCAACTTACCAGAGAAGCTGCCCAGCATGGTGGCTGTGTTATCCCCACCGTCAAATAGTTCTAAAGAATCCCAGTTCTGTTCTGTGACGAAACTGATCACCTGAATCTGGGAAGGAGAACCAGGAAAAAGGAAACCTGTATCACTAACAAGATTTTGATTACCATCAAATTTGACAAGGACCCTAGTTAAACAGCCAATCAAATAATCTGCCCACAGAGAACCCTTCCCACATTGGCTGACCCACCAAGGAAATCCTATCTATTGTGGAGAGTTCTGGGACTTGTTTGAGAGCAATTCATTCAATTCACCACGGATGATGCCTAGACCTATCTGCCCTCATTGTTGCCCCACGTGAATGGAGAGTGCCCTTGAAGATAACTAGTACTCCCAGCAGATGCGTGGGTGGGGGGGATGGTGAGGGTAGGCCAGCTGTCCACAAGGAGCAGAGAATTCAGATATAGCATGAAGAACTCACAAACACATGGTGGTTGAGAGACAGATGGTTGCTTAACTGGTTTCAAGAGGTTTTAATCATGGAACACGGCTAAACCTTTGTCCCTGAAACATTAGTATTCTTGATAGGGGGAGAGTTGAGGGGGGAGAGCATTTAAACTTGAGGATCAGTGTGCTGTAATGATTACAGTGGCCCTGGTCACACTGGGGGAAAAGGTGCGGCTGAAGTGCAGCTTTTTTGAGCCGCCGCGCAGTTGCTCCCCGACATGATCAGATGCCGGGGAAAGCCACAGATCGCGGAGTGAGGCAGCCCGCTGCGCATGTGCACGCCTACACAGTTTGGCCGAGGGCCTCGCATGCTGCCGGAGACAGGCCGCCCGTGCTGCGGATTTTCAGGTAGGTAGTAGTGTTTTGTAGGGTTTTTTTTGATCCACATCTTCGGCCGGAAGAGACGGATCGGGGACGGGTGCGTGCCGCTTCCCAGATGTTGCGGTGGGATTGCGACCGCTTGATGCACCCCTGATCCGTCCCTCTTGCGTATCAAAGCCTCCCGTGTGACCGGGGCCAGTGACAGACTAGGATAACCCAGGTTCAAATCTCCACTCTACCATGAAATGCACTGGGGGACTGGCACAGTCACTCTCTCTCAGTCTAACTTACCTCACAAGATTGTTGGGGAAAAGAAGTCAAGGAAGAGAGAACCCATGAATGACCCCATGAGCTCCTTGAGCAGACAAACATACACACCAGCCCCACAGCTTGAGCTGGTATATTCCAGGGGGGGAAATGCCTCCTTTCTCCCAAGCCCAAGCCAACAGAAAGGCTTCACCTTGGCTCTTGGGAGGGGTATGTGATCATGGCCAGTCAAGCAGTTGATGCCAGGTGTGTGTGATATCTGGGGCTATTTAACACCTGGGAGATCTCCACCCCTCCCTCTTTCCGTGACAGACTCAACCATATCCATATGATGCCTTTTATTGAGGCTAACCTAAATGCCACAAAACACTGTGCATGCTTTTGAGCTCATTAAGACCTCTTCAGCAGGCTAGATGTTGGGAGGGGCTGTGCCTCAGTGGTAGAGCATCTGCTTGGCATGCAGAAGGTCCCTGGTTCAATCCCCGACATCTCCAGGTAAAAGGATCAGATACCGGGTACTGTGAAAGACCTCTACCTGAAACCCAGGAGGGCTACTGCCTGTCTGAGTAGACAATAATGACCTTGATGGACCAATAGTCTGATTCAGTATAATGCAGCTTCATGTGTTCATATGTGAAAGACCTCAGCCTGAGACCCCTGGAGAGCTGATGCTAGTCTGAGTAGACAGAACTGATCTCAAGGGATCCATGGTCCAGTTCAGCATAAAGCACCTTCATGCGTTTATCAATAAAAAATGAAGGAGGGGGATGGAGGCGGATTCTCCAGTTCCACAGCTAAAACCCTGTCATGCCAGCTAGATGCTGGAGTGTTAGATGCTGGCAGGCTTACAGACTGTGGTTTAATTGCTCCACTTACTCACCCATCCCTACCTTTGGGAGAAGTGCAGAAATGAGCAGGTGGCCGTAGAGCCAAATGGGAACTCTTTTGTTTCCCAGCAAGGAGACTGCTCTAGACTGGCCAGGAACAGAGGGCTCTTCTCCCCTTGATTCTGTACTGACTTCTGCCTGGGACCATAGTGTTCTTGGTGGAAAGGCAGCAAGATTAAGTGACAGAAAGTGTTCCAAAGGCTGTCACAATTTTTAGTTGGCAGGTGCAGGGAGAACTATCCCTGTGGAAAACGTTTAAGCTGGGCTGAGAGCTTGTGACAGGCCCAAGGTCACCTAGCAGACTTCCATGGCTGATCGGGGGATTGGAACATGGTTGAACCAGGCTGTAGCCTGATGCTCTAACCCCTCTATGTCTTCTTTATTCTGTCACATACACCTTGAAAATGGGGCCTTCATGAATTCCTCCCCATTTTCACCATGAGACCACAAATCCATCTGTAGCTGTGCCCAACTTCTCCTCTGCTTAATGCAACAGAGGGGAAAAGGTGTGTCTTGGGAGTAAAGATCATAAACCATGATTGGTGGCATTATAACTTGTTTTCCTGATTGATTTATCTTGAATAACAACTTTGTAGGGACTTTAAAGAGAGAAAAAAGAGAGACTCAAACCTTCAGAGTCATCTCTGCTGAAATGCTGATGACCCCCGTTGAGCCTCTCCTGATCAGGCTGGCCGTGTGACTCCCTGCATAATTATCCCCATAGTGAAGATTTACGATATTAGGAAGCTAGAGAGTTGCTTCAGTTCTCCACCTCTCGATCCCCACCCCCAAAACTTCCTCTTTTTGGAAAAGCATAAATATTCAGAAGTTCTAATTCTAGGGCGATGTGCAGGATTCAGGAGAGACCAGCATGTATTTACTGTCAGGGATATAAATTAATTCACCCAGGAAAGAGCTGCCTCTGGAATGAATAATTCATATTAGATGCGTTTGCTGCTGCACTGATTACATAAAATCCTCATCGTCCTGACACCGCCGCAAAGAACACTTTCATTCCCATTGTCTCCTCTGCTTTGGCATTGCTTCACCTTAACCTACGAAACAAAATGGGGTGGATGGATCCCTACAGGGCTGGGCAACTAATGAATCAGGACCCTGATCTAGACCTCCACTCCATCTTGGTCACTAACCCAGCCTCCATGTATAAGGGGAGAAATATCTGGGTTGATTCCCATGAAACAGAATTCACAGGCTTGGGGGGGATGGATCCAACTTTTGAACAGTTTCAAAGTCACGTGTGATTTTCATGTTGTCTTCAGTTCCCATGCACACAATTCTCCCTCTGGATCAGGACATATACACTTGAAGCTGCCGTATACTGAATCAGACTCCTGGTCCATCGAAGTCAGTATTGCCTTCTCAGAATGGCAGTGTCTCTCCAGGGTCTCAGGCAAGGGGTCTTTAGCACCACCTCCTCCTTTTAACAGAAGGTGCTAAGGATTCAACCCAGGACCTTTCGCATGCCAATCAGATGCTCTACCACTGAGCCATGGCCCCTCCCCCACCATGGTATACGTGCAGAAGGAACTTCAATCTCCCCCACCCCAGATGATATGCTCCTACCCTGAACTGAAAGAGTCCAGGGAAGGAACTATTTGGCCCACTAATGTCCTCTGGCTCTCCCCCCCTACAGCATTTCTGTCCAGGGTAGGGACGGCTGAAAGTCCATCAGCATAGGTCATATGGTCTCAATCCAGAGTGGGAACTGAGGATGACACACAAGATATGTGTTACTTCAAACCTGCTCACAAGTTGGTTCTAGGGTCCCCCCACCCTGTGCACTCCAACTCGTAGAAATTGATCTTCAGACCCAGCCCCTGCAGAGTTGAGGGCAGGGCAGGTGCAATGGAAAAAAAATGTCTGAACCTTAATAGGTTCCCCTATTTTTTTTCTTCTTGGTTTGCTTATTTATGATATGCTCTGTCTTTCAGCAAGAGCTACCAAGGCGGATGACCATGAAACCAGCAATAAACCATAAACAGTGACAGTAAGCTTCCCAGGAACATCTGGATCCTACTGTTAAAAGAATTTTGTCCCGTGAGGAAGCCTTGTTTGTGTCGCAGAGGATTCTGGGGCGTATTCTGGGGCACGTGCTCCATTCAAGCAGGATGATGGCTAGAGCATCAACCACCCTGTGAACATATGAAGCTGCCTGCTACTGAATCAGACTGTTGGTCAACAAGGTCAGTCTTGTCTGATGAACAGTGGCTCTCCGGAGCGCAGGTGGAGGTCTTTCACACCACCTACAATTGGTAGAAAGTGCTGTCAAGTCACAGTTAACTTATGGTGACCACATAGGGGTTTCAAGGCAAGATATGAAAAGAGAAGGAGGAGGAGGAGTTAGATTTATACCCCGCCTTTCACTTGGCATCTCAGAGCAGCTTACAGTCTCCTTTCCCTTCCCCTCCCCACAACAGATACCCTGTGAGGTAGGTGAGACAGAGAGAGCTATGAGAGAACTGCTCTTGAGAGAACAGCTCTGAGAGAACTGTGGCTTGCCCAAGGTCACCCAGCAGCTGCATGTAGAGGACTGGGGAATCAAACCTGGTTCTCCAGATTAGAGTCCACCACTCTTAACTTCTATACCAAACTGGCTCGCCATTGCCTGCCTCTGTGTAGCAGCCCTGGACTTCCCTGGAGGCCTCCCATCCCAATACTAACCAGGCCCGACTCTGCCTAGCTTCTGAGACCCGATGCGATCAGGCTAGCCTGGGCCATCCAGGTTAGTGCATATCACCTGCTCCCTGGTCTTTTTCACTGGAGTTGCTGAAGAATGAACCTTTTGTGTGCAAATACGATGTTGCACCACTGAGCTACGGTCCTTTCCCAAACCTGCGGCTGAGCGTTGCAGGAGGCAGGGAGTCAGTCAGCTGTGTCTCAGGAGAGGTCCTCTGCCTCTACTTAGGATTCCACCAAAAAACCCTGCCAATTAACATCCAGGGAACCTTCGAGTCCACCAAAGCTTAGCCTGAAAATTATGGGCTGGAGTGGTGGTGGTGGTGGTGGGGAGCTTCAGTTTTCTGACTGTTTTCCTTATTCCATCACCTTTTTAAAACCTCATTGAGCTGTTAGCAGCTTTGCATCAAGGAGGCTCTCATGCAGCATACTCTAAACAAAAGCGGGGAGAAAGTGTCTTAATAGCAGAGTGGCACTTCCCCCTTGCAAACAAATGAATGAATTATCACTTTCTGGAATTGCAAGCGCCAAGCGCTTTGCAACAACACCTCAACAGTTTAACAGTCTTGTTCCTCTAAAAGTGTGGTTCTCTCTCCCCCACCCCGTCACGCCTGGAGGAATTATTAACAACCATGCAAATAAGTCAGAAGAAAGCCAGGGCAGAATTAACTATTTATGAAAGAACAACAAAATTCATGTAACAAAATGAATCTGTTAATTAGCTTTAGCACCCAAGGAAAAACTTGGCAGTTGCCCATTTGGAAGCCACAAGAAGCTGATTTTAATTGTTTCTCTCTTCCTTGCCTGCTGAAGCAGATCCATTATCAACAAGGGCAGAAGTGAAATTACCTCAGGCTGGGAAAATTCAAGGGCTTCCTGATCCTTTTGAATTCAACTGAGTCCACTGAGTTACCTTGGACTGTGTGTGCTCAACCCTGAGCCCTCATTAGCCACAGTAAGGATATAAAAGTGTTCAACATCGACTTCTGCCGTATGAAGCCTCTGGATTGGCCAACTCCTGAATAAATTCCCCTTGTCTCACCTACAGAGTTATACCTTCCCACCATGGCACTTTCCCCTCAAGCCCTTGTGCCCTCACCATGGCTCCAGTTAATACTTTAGCTACGGCTCCAGCAAGTGACTTCAGGGAGTTCTGGCTGGGAGAACAGCTCTCCAAGAGAGCCAGTTTGGTGTAGTGGTTAAGTGCGCGGACTCTAATCTGGGAGAACCGGGTTTGATTCCCCACTCCTCCACTTGCACCTGGCTGGATGACCTTGGGCAAGCCATAGTTCTGATAAGAGCTATCCTTGAAAAAGAGCAGTTTCTGTTGAGAGCTCTCTCAGCCCCACCTACCTCACGGGGTATCTGTTGTGGGGAGGGGAAGGGAAAGGAGTTTGTAAGCCGCTCTGAGACACCTTCGGGTAGTGAAGGGCCATGGGGTATAAACCCAATCTCTTCTTCTTCTTCAAGTTGTGTAGGCTGCCCATCTTTCTTTCAATAGATGGCCAGTAGCAAGGAAAAGGGGGGCGGAGAGGTAGGTAGGTAGGGGAGCTTTTGAATTCACAGAATTGTATGGAGACAGAAGGATCAACCCCACGCCCTAGTGCTGGGAAAATTCTATCGAATGCTGCTCACTAGCAACACATTTGATCTCGAGCCAGGATAACTGCACCCAAACAGCGTGAGGCACTCCAAACATGGTGTCTTTGGTGGGGAGGACCAGGCTGGGTGTCATCCAGCATCACAACTCTGCATCTAACATCTACACACAACACAGACTACTGCAGGACTTTACATCCTGTTCTAGCATCTCCCCACCCCCCAGTTTTTATTCTATTTATTTAGTTTTTATAACATACAGCCTGAATAAGAGATATGGAGAACTTGAAAGTTTGCACACTGGTATGTAGCATTTGGTTAGTTCTGGATGCCTGGAAAATCGCAAACTGCAGGAATGTTCTGCCGCCCTCTTCATCATGCAACCTACTCTGCCCAATGGGGCGGGCTGTTATCAGGATGGGGGTGGGACAACAGACCAGAAGTCCATGGGCACCTGGAAAACTAACATCTTTTATTCCAGCACAAGCTTTCGTGAGTCAGATGCGTATTGGAAGGGAGGCATTTTAAAAACTGATTTATAAGCAAAATTACTGGGGTGAGGGGAACAAGAGAAGGAGTTGAAGCAGAGAGGGGTTCGATGTGATTCCTGTCACAAATCTTTTAGGTATGAGTCTCTTTGTAAGGGGCTGGATATTGGATGCAGTTGTTACACAAAAAGGATGAAGAGAGAGAGGTCGGGGTTCTAGCTTCTTGTAGGGCACCGATAAGAAAATAAGGACAAACAACAGCAAATCAAGGAAGAAGACAGTTTAAAGCAGGACAACAGATGATAATGTCAAAATTAGAGGATTCCAAACATAGCTGAACTGGGATAGAAAAAGAGTTTTCTAAGAGAAAAAGTGTACCCCCCACCCCACCCCAGAAACTTCTACCTGTATTCCGGCTCCTTCAGGGACAGTTATTTTCCACACACAGTTGAGGCTGTTTAAGTAGGGTTCAGGGAATCCAGGGGACAAGATGGTCCCTTTCCGCTCAGTTAAATTTCCACCACAGGGCACTGGAATGAAAAGGCGAGAGATCCTGACATGTCAACTATATGCACTGTAGAAGCCTAGTTGCCTTCCCGGCCTGATTGCTGCCCCTCTGTTGAAAGTGTTTCCGCATACATTGCTTGTAATTACTTTCCATTCCCTCCCCAACATACTGTTGCCATGCAAGCCTATCAATGTGTTTTTATGGACTGTGCAAAGGGACTGTACAACATGGTGACCTAAAAATACCTGTTGAGACTGCACACCTGAAAGAGGGACACCTTCTTTTAGCGTTACTGCTCCAGTGGTATTCCAGAGTTACCAGCCATCTTGCCTGCTGTGAGATGAAGCAGTGCCATAAGCCTGCACAAAGCCTCAGACGCCATGCCATGGAAAACACGAGAACTCCAGACGCCATTAGGAGTTTCTTCCAGCATATGTAGGCAACCCCTTTCCCCCCTCCTCCAGACCTGCAAAGCTGTACGTAGCTCAGAGACTCTATTCATGGTTGCTTAGCAACTAATCGCTCCCATCAGCAAGCCGGCTAGGGCCATCAAGAGACAATAGCCTTAGCCTGATGACTCATCTCACCTGCATCCAGGTGCCAGCCTCCAGTCTAAGTTTCTAGATCTCAATATTGACCACTCCTTAGTCCCCCTCCCCTCTTCCAGCCAGCCAATAGCATGTTTTCAGGGACGGACTAACAGGAGGTGTGACTAGGGGATGTGGCCAGCTCGACCTGCCCCTCTCACCCCAGCTAATAAAAGCTGAGACACAAACACATGGTCTCTCTCTACCTCCACACGACCCCTATCAAAGCTTTAACCCTCATGTCCCACTTGCTATCCCAATACCCTGCCTCCATCTTTAAACACAGATCTGCAGCTAGAGTCCACATGGTTCTGCCGGTTCAGAGCACGTGTTCCCCATTTTCTATTCCTAACCCCTCCATTCTTCGATTGGAACGGCTCAATCTACGAGGACAGGTAACTATTTCCCAAACCAACGAATACCTGCTCATGCAAACGTGCTTATAATCTCTCTGTATTTCTTAGACCGGTGTATATGAATGTGTGCTTGTGTATTGTCTGAATGAAAATAATCTTCAGTAAAGAATAATAATTGACCTAACCCGGTCTCTGTGTCTCTTACTGGGAACTATAATAGAAAATGGAACCTCTGTATACACTGGTGAATACTCCCTAATTTGCCTATTGCCAATTAATAATCATAACTTCCCCAATATTAATTAAGAAATTAAGGCAATTTGGCTAACAATACCCTTCGGGGGGAGGGGGGGAAAGAAGGATCTTGTTAATACTGTGTATCCCTGTGTAGCACTAAGCTTTGATCTTCACTGGAAATATTTGTATCGAATCTTTACCTTTGACTCCTGTGCACATTTTTTGGAACTGTTCATAACCACTGATCTCCTGACACTTTTGTGGGTGGGCACAGAGGATGCAACTCTGTTGCCCTGGCAACAGGCCTGATGTTCCCTGCTTTACTGCTCTGTATAAGCAGCTCCAACACTGACGACTGGGGGCTAAGACTCTTCCCTGGATTCAGCTCCAGTTGCACGTAGTTACAGCCATCTTTTGTTAAGGAAGAGAGTTAGAGTACATCTTATAGAAAGCAATGCAGAAAGGACTGAGAACATTTAATTTCAAGGGCTTGTGTGAACCTTGCCCATCCACTTTGCGCTGTGTGTGAAAGAATGTGCATTTGGACCTTGTCTAGTGGACTACATGAGAATGAATCAGGGCAAGGATGCATTGGCTCAGGTGCCTAGGCAATGGGGAAGTGTTTCACCTGATACCCTTTAAAAACACCAAGCGGGGGGTGGGTGGGTTGTGGGACATAAAAAGCTAAACATGGCTTCTGGACCTGTCTCTCCACAAGTGTTTTGTCAGGAGGAGAAAGGTGTTTTAGCTGTGGATTTTGCTGTGGCTCACAATTTCAGATCAGTGCTAACATTGTGTTTCTTTCCTTTTTTCCAAAAAAAAGCTTGTAAACAAACATACAACTTTTACCTGGTGTGCCCGTACCCTAGTTTATGTGCACTTAAAAAAAATTATAACTCTGTGCCAAGGAAATGGAAATCTGAGATCAAGAAATAATGAGTAAGTTGCGCAGCTCGGTTTTTTCGTGTTTGATTGGAGAAACGCGCACAGTGATGACAGGACTCTGGCTGGTGAGACTCTCCGAGGCACAAAATGCAGAGGGTATGACGGTCGGGAGGACCAAGTTTGCTGCTGCAACCCTTGCACCTGTTGAAAAAAACCCACTTCTTCTCCATAAAAGAAGCGAAGAAGAGGGAATGTTGAGGAGGGGGGGTAGCCCGAAGGCCTGACTGAGGTAAAGCAGCAACCTCCCCCTCAGCAGAAAATAAAAGGGTGGGGTTTTTTAGGTTTTTTGAAGGAACGACGAAGAAAAAGAATAAACTGAGGAAAAAATCCAAAGAGCCGTGAGGCAGAAAGCCAAAACACGCGAACCGATCAGACTGATGAAGAAAAAGGTCTTTCCAACGTGGTGGTAACAAAGGAACTGGCGGGATGTCCGCGCCCACCCCTCGGGGCATTCGCAGTGGGGATCCTGCGCATGCCCGAGGTCTGGGCGCGAAAATCCATTAAAAGAGCTTGCTACAGCACCGATCGATCCAGCACGTGCGCACTACATCCCATGGGTGTGAAGCACAGAGACCACGTCGAAAATCTATGGCTTGCCCAAGGTCATCCAGCAGGTGCAAGTGAAGGAGTGGGGAATCAAACCCGGTTCTCCCAGATTAGAGTCTGCGCACTTAACCACTACACCAAACTGGCTCACTTATGACAGCTCTGTAGAGTTTTCAAGGCAAGAGATGAAGAGAGGTTGTTTGCCATTGCCAGCCTCTGTGTAGCAACCCTGGACTTGCTAGGTGGTCTCCCATCTGTCAAACCTGGGCCTTGCTTGCCAAATATTTCCTATTTCCTACACTCATGTTCTGTTTTCATTCTATTGGTTGTGGATTCACATGTATTCTTATACACTTCCTGTATTGCACACAACCTTGCTCTTTCCCATTGCTATTTATCATCTCTGCTGGGAATGGGGGTGGGTGGGAGTGGACGTGTTTGGCTTTCTGCTTTGCTTGGTTAGTGTCAGCTCGTAACTGTTCTCACACAGGGGCCTCCTGTGTGTGTTGAGAACACCTTGGGAAGTGTATGATCTCATCATTCTGTGTGACCTCGTAGTCTGGGGAGTTTCTAGATAATGTAACCATTAGCATGCAGGTGGGGGGCAGTCACAAGGGCAGGCACAGACGTGTGGCAGGCTGAATGGGAGCAGTGATTGGTTGCTTGGCATCTGTGGAATTTCTTGCTTTCAGTATATTGGCGGAACTGGCGCCTGGGCCCCAGTTCCGACACAGAAGCTGTCTATGCTTGGAACCTCTCTACCTCTTAATAAACAAATCTTGTTGCTACAAGAGTGTTTGTGAGAGTGATTGCATCCAGGACTTGACACCATCCAAGCACTAACCAGGGCTGACCCTGCTTAGCTTCCCAGATTTGATTTGGACTAGTCTGAGTTATACAGGTCAGGCGCATAGCAACCTGAATAGCTGAGCTTGTCAGACCTCAGAAGCTAATCGGGATCAGCACTGGTTAGTAATTGGATGGGAGATCCCTGATGAAGACAAGGGTTACTACGCAGAGGCAGGAAATGGCAAGCTGCTTTTTTTGCTCAACTCTTGCCTTGAAAACCCCATGAAGGGTTGCCATGAGTTAGTTGTGACTTGACACCACTTAAAGTGACATGGACTGCCTGACAAGGTCTTGAGAGAGCAGGAGGAAGGTTGCAGGCTTTAACTTGTAAGGGAAATTACAGCTGTTTCTATACAAATGCTCGAAGTGTCCGAGGTAAAATCGGGGAGTTGGAGTGCTTGGTGAGGGAGGGAAAAATAGACATTGTGGGTATTTCTGAAACTTGGTGGGATGAGGAAAATCAGTGGGATACAGTGATTCCCGGTTATATATTATATCGGAAGGATAGGGGAGGAAGGGTTGGAGGTGGGGTGGCTCCGTATGTCAGAGAGAGTATAAAGTCCAGAAAGATTGAGAGGCTAAGAGAATTGGATTTGCTTCTGGATATTCTATGGGTTGAAATAGGGGCCCCAAAAGGAAACTTAACACTGGGAGTTTGTTATCGCCCACCGGATCAAAAGATAGAGGAGGATTATAAAATGATGAATGAATTAAAGATAGCAGCTAGACAAAAAACCTGTGCCGTAATAGGTGATTTTAACTACCCACACATTGATTGGGTCAATATGTGTTCTAGTCGAGAAAAAGAGATTGAGTTTCTAGACACTCTAAATGACTGTGCTATGGAGCAGATGGTCACGGAACCTACCAGGGGAGAGGCAATCCTTGATTTGGTCCAAAGTAACACTCAAGACCTGGTGAGAGATGTGAAAGTGATTGCATCGCTTGGAAACAGTGATCATAATGTTGTTGAGTTCATCATTTGTACAAATAGAGAATTGGCCAAAAAGACTCACACAACCATTTTTAACTTTAAAAGGGGTAATTTCTCTGATATGAGGGGACACGTGGGGAGGAAACTGAAAGGAAAAGTAGAAAGGGTCAAAACAATTGGGGAAGCTTGGGATCTATTTAAAACTACGATCCTAGAAGCTCAAAAAATATATATTCCGCAGGTTAGGAAAGGCACAAAAAGGTATAGGAAAAAGCCTGCATGGTTAACAAACAGAGTAATGGAGGCTGTAAAAAGTAAAAAGAATTCCTTTAAGCAGTGGAAAGCTAGTCACAGTGAGGCTGATAAAACGGAACACAGGCTATGGCAAATAAAATGCAAGTCTGAGGTCAGGCAGGCAAAAAGGGAATATGAGGAGCATATAGCAAAAAACGTAAAAACCAACAATAAAACTTTCTTCAAATACATTAGAAACAGGAAACCAGCCAGGGAGGCAGTGGGGCCCTTGGACGACCAAGGGGTAAAAGGAGTATTGAAGGATGATAGGGAAATGGCTGAGAAGCTAAATGCATTTTTTGCAGAACCGCTGATTTTGGGAGGGGTGTTGAAAGACCTGAGTCAGATTGAGGTGACGAGAGAGGAGGTCCTAAAACTGATAGACAACTTAAAAACTGATAAATCACCAGGCCCAGATGGCCTCAGACACCATGCCATGGCACAAGGACAAAGAAGTCCAAATGCCATGAGGAGCTCCCTCAGTCACACGCAGGCAAACCCCCCCCCCCATCTACCTGCAAGACTGCACGTAACAGAGGTTCCACACACGATTGCTTGGAAACTAATCTCTTCCCCATCAACAGGCTCTGCTAAGCCCATCAAGAAACAATACCCCTAGCTCAGTGACTCATACCCTCTTCATCCAGGTGCCACTCTTCAGTCCAAGTTACTAGCTCTCAATATTGATCACTCCTTAGTTCCCCTCCCCTCTTCCTGCCAGCCAATAGCATGTTTTTGGGACATACTAGTAGGAGGTGGGCCAAGACATGTGACCAGCCTGGCACAACCCCCCAAGCCCCCCCCTTAAAAGGGAGCACTCTTGCTCTGGCTCTCCCCCCCCCACGACCCCTATATCTGCTTCTGAAACTTGTGGGGCCCCCTTGCCTCAAGACTCTGGAACTGCAGCTAGAGTCCCACATGCTTTTCTGCTGGTTCAGTCTGCACGCTTCCTTTTCCTAGCATAAATCCCATTTTCTAGAGTTTCCTTATTTTTCCATTTGGAAGACTTCATCTCTTCAGGATCAGGTAAAAGTATTGCCAAACCAACACAACTCCTGCTAAAGTGAATGTGCTATCCCAATCTCTCTAAGCTTCTTAGCCCTGTATAATTGTGTGTGTGTTTGTGTAATATTTGAATGTGTATAAAATACAGTAAAAGACTTTGATTTTAACTAATATCAGCCTGCTTGTCTGTTACTGGTGCTCTGGATAAGTGACAGCCTCTGTATATACAGGTGAAAGCTCCCTTTGCCGATTGCTTATTAATAATAATTCATAATTCCCCAATATTGATCAGAAAACAGAGCAATTTAGCTAACAGCCGTCTCTTATGTTCTTATGATATACTGAAGTATTTGTTGTTGTTGTTGTTCAGTCACATAGTCGAGTCCAACTCTTCGTGACCCCATGGACCACATCACGCCAGGCCCTCCTGTCTTCCGTCATGCTCTGGAGTTTGCTTAATTTCATGTTCATTGCATCGATAACACAGTCTAACCATCTCATCCTTTGTTGTCCCCTTCTTCCTTTTCCTTCAGTCTTTCTCAGCATCAGGGTCTTCTCCAGTGAGTGCTCCCTTCTCATTTGGTGGC